GCTGGACCTGGCACCCAGACCACTTCATTAAGCTGAAGTGGTCTGGGTGCCTAGAGTGGTCCTTTAACATTATACAATGGAAAAATATAGCAGTAAAAATACACTTCATCTATCTGCTTTACTGAAATAACATTGACTAAATTAATATCTTAAGAGGACTTTATTCATAACAAGTTAATTTTGAGACCCTACAATCTAGAGATGTACACTTCTCTACACTATGGTTTTCCAGTCCCTCTGGGTCTTCAAACACGGCACAACCATCTTAAAGTTTCTAGGTTGGTGGCACCCTTTCTTGGGCGTGCATGTGAAAGTCAGCACTGGAGATCTGTAATGCGTCACTTTAGGATGTGATGCTGCACTGGAGGGACTTGTGTATACACATCCAGAGCCAATGACAAAGTTGATGGGGCTTGACTAAAGCTCCACCCTATGTCAACTTTTGTGAACCTGCTGGTTCTTATGTATAACTTTGCAAAAATGGGCCATTTAAAGAAAACAAAAAGGGCAGCCAAGGAGGGGATTTGAGACATGCCTATTAAAAAAAGAAAGAAATGACAGAGATTCTTTAATGCCAGCTCTTCAGTCAGCAAATAAATCCACTGGTTATTTTTTTTCCCTCCCTCTTGTTCTCGGTTACTAAAAGAGCTATCTGACTCAATTTTGTCCCCAAATCTCACTATACCACCCCCTTGAATATATCCCTTCTCATCTCCTAAACTCCCTTTACTTCCTAGCAGCCCTACATTTGCTTCTGTCTACTAGAATAAGTAAAAATCTATTTTTTTGTGGGAACTTCCATTCCCCAAACTACTGATGTATGAAATGTTGGATTAACAAATGTATAGATTGTGAGAAAACCCTATTTATAAACATATCTTTCACCCACTTCTCACTCAAATCTTCAGTATAGTCTCTATACCAATGATTTGACTGGCAAGGGAGAGCAGAAATTACCTCCCACAGGCGGTTCGTTTGCTCTCCTAAGCGCAGCAATCACAGTGCATTCACTGTGGTTGCTATGGAATATAACTAGCTAGGGGAACCCAGGAAGTGTAGGAACACCGGCATGCTGACATTGAAGCCATGGTGTCAAAATCACACAGGAGGTTTGCCCTGCTTAGGGACGCATCAAGCAAAGCCAAACACAAAACACTGGAAGAGGAGCAGAGGACAGACTAGAGGTTGGTGTTATATGAATATGGCGAGCTGGAATTTTACAAAGAATACATGATTTATTTTTGTGATATAGGATGTATTCAATGTATATGGGGGCAATTTAAAGTACGTTTTTCATAACGGGTTTACTTTAACCCCTTAAGGACCAAACTTCTGGAATAAAAGGGAATCATGACATGTCATGTGTCCTTAAGGGGTTAAAGATTACAACCCTTTTTCCATTATTTGTTTTTTTGGGGTTTTTAAAGCCTTGGTATTTGTCACTTGCTTGCTCCACCCCCACTTGTTTTTTTTTTTATATAAAACCTGTAGAAATACTTTTTACCTTTAAACCAGCGCAGATCGTTTCTATGCCTCGTCTGCCATTGTGACCCATCATCTTCTTCCAGTTTTTCAATTACCGTATATACTCGAGTATAAGCCGACCCGAATATAAGCTGAGGCCCCTAATTTTACCACAAAAAACTGGGAAAACTTATTGACTCGAGTATAAGCCTAGGGTGGGAAATGCAGCAGCTACTGGTAAATTTCTAAATAAAATTAGATCCCAATAAAATTACATTAATTGAATATTTATTTACAGTGTGTGTATAGAATGAATGCAGAGTGTCTGTGTGTGTGTATATAATGAATGCAGAGTGTGTGTTTGTGTGTGTATATATAATGAATGCAGTGTGTGTGTTTGTGTGTTGTGTGTGTGTGTATATAATGAATGCAGTGTGTATATAATGCAGTGTGTGTGTTTGTGCAGTGTGTGTAAACTGGGTGAGGGGAGGGCATTTTTATTTTAATTTTTTTATTTTAATATTATATTATTTTAATAATATTATTTTATTATTATTATTTAATATTTATTTTAATAATATTATTATTTTAATATTTGCATTATTTTTTTTAAATGGTTTTTTTGTCCCCCCTCCCTGCTTGTTGCCTGGTCAGGGAGGGGGGACAAAAAACATTTTAAAAAAATAATGACAATATTAAAATAATAATAATATAATAAAATAATATTATTAAAATAATATAACATAATAATAAAATAATATTATTATTTTAATATTATATTATTTTAATAATTATATTATTATTATTTTAATATTTGCATTATTTTTATTTTTTTTGTCCCTCCTCCCTGCTTGTTGCCTGGTCAGGGAGGGGGGGACAAAAAACATTTAAAAAAAATAATGCAAATATTAAAATAATAATATAATAATAAAATAATATTATTAAAATAATATAATATTAAAATAACAATAATATAATAATAAAATAATATTATTATTATTTTAATATTTGCCTTATTTTTTTTAAAAAAAAATTTTTGTCCCCCCTCCCTGACCAGGCAACAAGCAGGAAGGGGGGACAAAAAAACATTTAAAAAAAAATAAGGCAAATATTAAAAAAATAATAATAATATAATAATAAAAATATTATTTTAATATTATATTATCTTAATAATATCAAATCCCTGGTGGTCCAGTGGCATTGGCAGTTCAGTGGGGGGGCTGACAGTGAGCTGTTACCTTTCCTGCAGCTCCTGTCAGCTCCCTTCTTCTCCGTGCAGCTCCTCTGTCAGACTTACACTGTGAGCAGAACGGAGCTGACAGAGGAGCTGCACGGAGGAGAAGGGAGCGGACAGGAGCTGCAGGAAAGGTAAGTAACAGCTCACTGTCAGCCCCCAACAGGACCACCGGGCTTGTAATGAGCCCGGCAGTCCTGGTCTGTATTGTGGCAATGTAAGTTGCCACAATACAGACTGACTCGAGTATAAGACGAGTTGGGGGTTTTCAGCACAAAAAATGTGCCGAAAAACTCGGCTTATACTCGAGTATATACGGTAAATGCTTCTCTTAGATCAGCAGAAGCTGTAAACACTACATTGTGCATTTGAATGGTCACGAGTTGTGTTGCTCAGCTCAGCAATACAGTCCATCAACCGACTATTAGCCAAGGAGGGAAATGAGAAGGTACTGCGTGGAAAGGAAGGTGGTGCTGGTTGGGGTTGGTGGACAAGTCATGAACTGTTCTTTTAAATGTAAGGAGACAGGGATTCAGGGATTCAGGGAGGGAGGGGAGAGCGAGGATTTTTACATGTAAGAAGACAAGGTGGGAGGGAAGGGACACGTACAAGCTGAAACTCTGAACATACAGATTGCTTTATGACCACTTCTAACGCATGGTCATGAAAGTTGGACTAACAATTTAAGGAATTTAAATATAAGAAAAAAACATTGATGTCATGTATTTTTATCATGAATTGACACCCATTTAATCTATAATGTATTGAAGACAAGTGTGTGATTTCAGATTTAATCTCTGCTGCTGTAGCTACATTTATAAGCATGTCTTCTACACGTGACTCAGATGGTCTTAAAGAACACATGTCATTAAAATTTCTCTTTCGATTTTTTAAAGTTTATTACATATGAAAAGCTATCTTTACTGCTTTCAAATTCCTCTGCATTATTCAGTGCTTTACCAACATTTCATGACATTAGTAAATCAAGAACTAACCAAGCTCAATACTTCTGATTATATTTATATACTCTATAACCCCTATTATTACATATCTTAGGTATACCTCCTGACATTTGTGTACTCATATTATATTATTTATTATTTTCACAGCTCTAAAGGATGTGGGTGGTTCTAATAAGTGTTTTACATTAATACCTATTGGTGTAGGTTACACTATGAATGTTTTTCTCTTTTTATTTATTCTGGTGTACTTGTGATGAATATCATCTTTTAGCAATTTGGAAAAGAGAGTTTGATTATTTAAAAGGGGAACTATTGTTATTTTCATACTTTTGTATGCTGGTACACACTTTTTTTATTGCACTTTGCACACTTTAAACTTATAGTATTTTATTTACTGCTTGGCATTTGGGGTTTTAAGTGAACCATTTCTAAGTGCTACAGGTGTATAGCCACATTTACACACATTATTTTAATTGGATCTCACAATGGGCCATTTTCATCTCTATTTCTGTAATTGTATTATTGTGTTTTAACCCTTGCGTTATATGTGTGGGCTGCTCGCTATACAAATTTTAGCAACAGTACATATGCAATGCATGAGGAGTAAAATGTTTATGGTGGGATTGACATAGGAATGTGTGCCTTTTAGTAATGCCATCAATGGATGGGGACAAAGATTTACTCCCAAAACATTACTCAACAAGTTAAATGCCGCTGCCCAAAATGGTTACATCAAGCATAACCACCAAATGTGTACATGAATAAATTCTTCTCTAAAACAAAATAGAAATTAGTTAAAGAAAAATGGAACACACAAATACCACCTCCAAAGTAATAATGTACCATTTTAGCCTCTACAAAATAATGTGGTTTGATGTATGCTCTTCATAAGGAAACATCAAAATTCCTGAGGAGAAGGTTTATCCCTAATTGTTTTGGGTTCCTACACCTATGCATGGCCAGGAGGTTAACCAGCAGCTAATACCCTATTCAGCTGAGTGGGGTTTATTATTCTAAGACATTTCTATGTATAATAATGCATAAGTAGCAGCAGGTCATCTATTCAATTTTACTGTGTGTGCTAGATTTGTGTTTTATGCAACACTGTGCTCTGCGTAGAGTGTGTAGACAGGCTCTAGAACATTTAGCATCTTAGTACTCTTAGTACTCCAGTATGCACATGTTGCTATTTTTTTGTTCTTATTGAAAGTATCAGACACACAATGAGTTAAGAATTTCATAGCAAAAATAACATTTTTTAAAGATATGGTGAGCCTCTGTGACTAGTGTAAAAATACAAAAAAAGACCTGAACAGATAAAATGAATACTATTACAAAATGGGCATTGTTATCAGCACAAACAAAATTTAATGTTATTTACACGCATGAAAAAACAGCACAACAAAAATTCAGAACTAGAATGCATGGCAAAATGTGACAACCGTTAAATGTGCAACACTTGCCAGCAATACATGTTGCTCTGAATGGGTTCATTACATGCTTGAAGTCCTTTCTGTAATGTTAAAACCACTTTACAACTAATTCAACATACAAGAAAAGTAGATAGTAGAATTCATTGCAGGGATGAAATGAGTATGTTGAAAGAAGGAGAAAATTCTAAATCCAGCACCATAAATGCCTCTACTGGTTTCTTCCCGACTACCTATAATGCTGGACCAAGTAGATAACACGCAGTGCACGTAGGACTGAAATATTCCGAAAATAATTTTCCCATGATTCTTCCAGTTTATAGACTTTATCTGTAAACAATAATAAAAAAAAGTGTAATTTGTAGAATAAGGACAATTAAACAAAGAATGACAAAAAAGCTATAATACTCACTACAAAACAGCAAACAGTAGAAATAATTGAGTAATGTATTTTTTAAGTAATGTATCTTTTGCGCCCTGTTTTTTGCTCTCCATAAGTTTCTCTTGCGCTCTGTTTTTTGCTCTCCGTTATTTTTTAAGTAAGGTTATATAAAATATATAGTGGTCTCCAAGATTGAAGAGTAAAATGTTACTCTCCACCTTAAAATAATTTATTTCTACCCAACGGACAGTGACGTGTGGGTATGAATAAATTAGCACCTCCGTTTTCATCTGATGTCCTGATGAAAGTTCCATTGAGGAACTGAAACGTTGATGTCTCTGACAATAATAGAACAACATTGATTATAAAGCAAGGAGTGCCAGTATTTTCTAAATAAGGTATATATATATATATATATATATATATATATATATATATATTTTAAATATAAGTATACCCCAAATAAGACATAGACGACATTATTAAATATAACTTGGCAAAAGGCTGTGGTGCTCTTTATTAATGGATTTTAACAAATATTAGTAAATACATATTTTATTAAAAAATAATGAAAAACCAACCATAATACAACTCATAGACTTTTAAAAGACAATCAAAAACCAACCATAATACAACTCATAGACTTTTAAAAGCCAATCAGACCTATAACGGCCAGATTGACTTACATTTAAAAAACAATTAACAAAGTCCATCCTCCCTAAATACACAACCACAGGACAACTTAACCCTTAGAACAAAGACACCAGGACAGAAAATAAATGTAATAAATAACATTAGCATAAAATAAATGAAGAAGGGAGCTCTGTAATATAGCTCTCTTGCTGCTCCTCCTTCTTGACATGAATTCCACCTTCCACCTCCTGACTACTGCTTTTATATTCACATTTTGCACCTTGCAGTTTCCTCTCGCTACCTGCATCCAATCCAAGCCCTGCCTCCCTCCCATAACACCTGCATGCACTCTTAATGCTCTTCAACAGAGATACATTTCCGCTTCCCAAACCTACTATTATTCCATTTCATGTTCCCGCTACTTCCCATTCACTTTATTTCTCTCCGGATTCATCACATGACTCCCATAACCATAATTTCAATTACTCCCTTAATTTAATCTGATGTTGCTCCCTTTTCGTCTCACATATTTCTCTTTATTTCAGCAATTATATGTAATCTCTCCCTTCATTTCTTCCAATATGCCTCCTGGCTATCCTTTAATTTATAATCCCATTCAAGTCAATTCATCCCATTCGTCATCCTATATCCCGCTTCTTACTTCATCTCTATCAGCTATTTCAACTTTTGTGGCTCTCTCATTTTTACATATATTATTTTATTTATCATGATTCATAGCTCTCTCACTTAATTTTACGTCACATAATGCTCACATATTTCGTCCACATATCTCAGAACTGGACCATGGAGTAATGGAAGAAGTTGCTGGTCTGATAAATCACGTTTTCTTTTAGATCAATTGGATGGCCAGGTGTGTGCGTCAATTACCTGGGAAAGATGGTAGCAGGATGCAATAAGGGAAGAAGACAGTACAGTGGAGGCAGTGTTATACTCTGGGCAATGAAACCTTGGGTTCTGGCATTCATGTGGATGTTACTTTGGCATGCGCCATCTACCTAGAGATTGTTGTAGGCCATGTATACCCCTTTATGGCAATGATGTTCCCTGATGGCAGTGGTCTCATTCAGCATGTTTAAGCACCCTGCCACACTGCAAACATTGTTCAGGAATGATTTGTTTAGCATTGCAAGGAGTGCAAGGTGTTGTTTTTGCACTAAATTTCTCAGATCTCAATAATCTGATTGAGAAACAATGGGATGTGCTGCAACAACAAATCCGATCTATCCCACCTAACAAATTGAAGGCTTAAAGGATCTGCTTCTAATGCCTTTTGTGCCAGATACCACAGGACTGGTTCAGAGGTCTTGTGGAGTCAATGCCTCAATGCATCAGAGCTGTTTTGGCTGTAAAATACGATATAAGGCATGTGGTTTTACCTGGGAAACATAGCAATTCAACTGTATGCCCCATGGACAGTCCCAGTTCCCCAATCTTCAACCTAGATTTGCCCACCATTAACGATGTAGGTGGGCTGCTGTAATTAGAAATGGCAAGGAGGTAGCCAGCGTATATCCTGAAGTTTACATAGAAGTCTGAAGTGCATGGGTGCAGTCACATGTGCCCCTGCTTTTGCTCACCCCTGCTACTATCCTACCTCTTCCATTACCCTACAAATGGCCTATGGTTTAACTAAATCTAACATATATATCTCCCACACAGCTTTGACTGACACCTTTATAAAGATAATGAATGTGTCTGTACATTATGAAATGTCGATAATCCGCAATAAAATCTTTAAAACTAGAGCTGGAATTTAACATGTTATTCTAGGTGGGTACTTCAAACAACCACTATTTATCGATTTTTAATAACCTTTGAAGTTCATTAATCTAAAGAACTGTTACATAAAACAAAATACATATTTGTATAGCAATTCTAGACGTTTTGCTTTGGATTTGAAAGAGAAGCGATTATAAGAACAAGCAACATGGTTAAGACATTTATAAATACCCTCGGGTGATTCTCCGTGCTTTGAACTCTTTTATGTCCACCTCTTCTAATATTACTGTTTGTGTAAACAGCTACTTGTTGATACATATTCAGAAGTAGTAGCCAAAATTTGTATGACAAACATTATGTTTGCAAAATCTGTCTACCTGAACTGTGCAGCTACACAGTTCTAATATTCTGTCTCAATACTCATTGGCAAGTCTCCCTTAGCTTGGTACACACACAATTAGTGTAAACAGAAATTAGTATATTAAATGCAACCTTAACTAGTACTCAACTGGCATTGCAGGTATCGATTGATCCAAGGTCAGGGAGGACAGCAACACTGCGTCACTTGGTAAGAGATTTCCAATGTAACATTCTAAAACATTTAGTTTAAAGGAACACTATAGGGTCAGGAACACAAACATGTATCCCTGACCCTATAGTGTTAACACCACCAACTAGCCCCCCTGGACCTTTCATGCCTCCATAAATTTAGTAAAAATCTTACTGTATTCAAGCCAGAAGCTGTAACTCTGCATGCTGTTTGCCTAAAAAAAAAAAAAAAAGTCTGCTGACATCATCAGAAGTGGTAGCCTGATCAAATCACAATGCTTCCCCATAGGATTGGCTGAGACTAACAAAGAGGCAGATCAGGGGCAGTGCCAGCATGATTCAAACACAGCCCTGGCCAATCAGCATCTCCTCATAGAGGTGAATTGAATCAATGAATCTCTATGAGGAAAGTTCAGTGTCTGCATGCAGAGGGAGGAGACACAGTGCTGTCCTGTGCTCTGCTGACAGCAGATCTGAGTGGGTTGAGTTTTATGCCTCAATCAACTCAGAAGTCCCTCTGGTGGCATTCTGAGTGACTGCAACTGGAGGTGTTCCTAGCTTTCAATGTAAACACTGTATTTTCTGAGAAAATACAGTGTTTACATGAGAAAGGCTGCAGGGAGCTATAGTTCTCACCTGAACAACCTCATTAAGCTGAAGTTCTTCAGGTGACTATAGTGTCCCTTTAAACTACAAAAGGCATATCTAATATATGAAGTATATGTTCTTGTGAAAAAAGCTACATATTATTACAAAAGCATATTTAATTTTATGATTTATTTTACTACAAACCTATGGCTATAGTCAGGAGAGTTACATTGCATGATGTAACAAGATACCATCATTTAGTTTTATATATATATTTATTTATTTTAAAATTATTATTTATTTGTCCTTTTTTTTTTAAATATATAAATTATCTTTTATTTTTTTGACAAATATCACACAGAGAAACATTATAAGAACACTATAGTGTTAGGAATGTAAAACTGTATTTGCTATAGTGTCCACTCCCCATTGGTGTTGAAAGGGATAAAAACCCTTTGTTACCTTACCTCGTACCAGTGCAGAGGCTCCATCGCTGCTGGCTTAGTCTCCTCCTGCAATGTCGCTCAGATGGGGGAACCTAATGCGCATGTGAGACATGTGCCATGGATGCATTAGAGTTTCCCCATATGAAAGTATTGAATCAATGCTTTCCTATGGTATATTTGAAGACATGAGACATCCTCATGCAAAGCACGAGGTTGTCCACAGTCATTTCACAAAGTTAAACTCTGTTAGAAACCAGATTGTGTCTCCAGTCGCTGTCTTAAAGACAGCAGCCAGAGGTAGTCTTAAGCCTGCATTGTTTCATATTGCAGGGTTAAGCAGACAGGGGCACTTGAATGAGATGAAGTGGTTTGGGTGCCTGTAGTGTCCCTTTAAGTACAAATCTCCAGTCCAAACCTTTAATACAGATAAATAGTTTTTTTTTTTTTTTTTATAGTAGCGGATTCATACAAGAAACAAAACAAAAAAAAACGTACTTTAGAGCTGTATTAAAAACTTTTTTTAAATTCTATCGTTATTTGCCCATTAAAATGGTGAATAATGGAGGCTAAATTTCTATCAGGCTTATCCAACCACATGATGAAATAGACTGGAGTTATAATAAACATAAGCTATTTAGCAGGTAGTTAACTCACAGTCCTACTACATTGTTTGTATATGTTAAATTTCACCAGTCACAGCCAAAATCTGAGCATGGTAGGAGTTGTAGTTCATCAGGAGCAGACAAGCTCTTGATAGGACATAAATTCTTAATAGAGTGGATTGTATTTTTGGTTCTTTATCCTCTGCACCTAAAAGAGCCAACATCCAGAACCCAATTTATGTTTTTTTCTTTATCGGGGAAATAAAGAGTTAAATTGCCTGAGATCCGGGCAGCAGGAGCATTTGCACTCACAGAGCTGTAGGTTTCTGGCATTAGCATGCTGTGACACCACAAAACGTGCACAAAGCGTATACTGCAACTCAGGAATAGAATAATCAAGCAGACTGATTGAAAGCCCAGGGAGGCGGCTCTATACACAGAAAATTAGGTAGTCATCTCTAGAATCAAATATTTCACACAAAAAAAAGAAAGGCTGCAGGGACAGGGTCTTTGTTCCATAACCACTTTAGTAATATAAACTGGTAATGATGAACCTTTAACTCCGGAGCTTGCCCATAAAACCTGCCCTATTGATAAAAGCTAACGCTAAGATATACTACCTGTATAATACCTGTAGCATACACAGAGCTATAAATAATTGTGTTTTAAATGTACCAAGTTTGCAACAAAAAAATAAGAATGCATATGAGCATAAACAGTGTTTTCACTCCTTTTAAATTATTTTTTTTATTGTTTTTAATATTCATTGTGTGTTAAATTATTTTTATATTTGCCACCTTTATTCTCCTGGTTTATATATAAAACACTTTTATTGTGATTATTATAAAGTATATATATATGCTATTCTTTTTATACATATATGGACTCCTGTGTAGATATATTATCCAATCAAAACTGAACAATAAAGTTTGATGATTAAAGTTATCGGATATCCAGCAAGATGGATGAGCAGTGATAGACAGTCAAACCAGGACTTTCAAACATGGCCGCAATGGGACACGCGGAAACATACAATCACATGCACGGAATGAATAGAAATGATATGAGTGTCTACACGAAGCGGAAGTGCAAGGAGATTTCGATTGGATTATAATTTATAAGTGTCGACTGTTGGAGGAGGTAATAAACCATGAAAGGAAATTATGCAAATATGCATAGTAGGAGATATATAAGCTGGAAGTATATTTTGTTTGTATATGTACCTGGAAGAAGACTAACATGAAAACATGTTGTGCTTATGTGGCTATTTCTAAAGCTACATATAATACTGTATTTATTACCTTTTAATAAATTATGTATACTTACCTTTAATTGGCTGCTACTTATGTTCTACTGTATGATCAAATTGGAGCATTGAGGTGAACATAGATCAAATCGGTGGTAAAATCTTACCAATCTTACATAACAATTTATCTGCTATAAAATAGAGCCAATATATCTGGCCCTTTACAGGGACACTATAGTCACCAGAACAACTACAGTTTATTGTATGTGTCCTGGTGAGTATAGTCATTCCCTTCAGGCATTTTGTAGTAAACACTGTCTTTTCAGAGAAAATGCAGTGCTTACATTATAGCCGAAGTATACCTCCACTGGCCTCTCCTCAGATGGCTGTTAGAGGTGCTTCGTGGGGCAGTGCTCCACACTGCATGGAGGCACTGAACCTTCCTTATAGATATGCATTGATTCAATGTATCTCTATGAGGAGATGCTGATTGGCCATGCTGTGTTTGGCTTGTGCTGGCTCTACCACTGATCTGCCTCCTTGACAGTCTTGGTCAATTCAAAGCTTTCCTATTCGAAAGAATTGTGATTGGCTCAGCGAATCACTTCTGATGATGTCAGCCAAGCAGGCAGATCAGGGGCAG